CCCAGAAAAGGTTCTCAGTGCCCTAGTCTGTGAATCCAACACCTAGCATGACGTCTAGTTCACAGGAGGTCCTCAAAAACTAGTTTTGTTTGAGTAAATGCACGGAAGAAAAGATGGATGGATTGACGGATGGGAGACTAAAAACTTTTATTTCCCAAATCTCTCCATCCATGAAAATATTTAAAGGTCAGTACCACCCTTAGCTTCAGGCAAGAGGGGCCTCTGTCCTGGGTTCTGAACGTCTGGGTTGTGTATATCACAAACACACACAATGAATGTTTTAAAGGACACATGGGTGCCTCTGTCACAGGGGGCCTCACAGGTGATGCTGGTACAGTCCCACTGGCAGCCCGAACCACCTGCTCAGGGGAAAAGCATAGCTCAGCCCCTAGGGAAACACTTCTTTACATCTCTTGCTCTATGTTCTTGAAACAAAAAGTGCCTGAGCTCAAGTGCCATGAAGGTTTGGGGTTGTACCTGTAGATGTCAGAAATAGACACAGCTTCAGAACAGGGGAGCATTTGAGCAGCAGAAGTGCTTAGGTAAGACAAACAAGTAATTAATTACCTTGTCAAATGCATTCTCCTAGACAGGACAAACATAAGAGATTCTTGCATAATGAAGCCTTCTTTGTGATGCTGAGGGTCCATTTTCTTGTTTCTCTTCATATTTCAATTTGTGGCCCAGAGGTACTGGAAAACATTTTGCAATAGTTAAATAATTCATATTACTCTTAAATTTACATACATATGGATCTAGATATAACATGCATGAAGCCTGGTAACAACTCCTGTGCTTGTAACTAGATGGACATTGAACACTAGAAATGGAAGTAACCCTGTATTTGTCAGCTATGTAATATGATTAGCTAAGGTTTCAAAATTAAATAAAAATTCAACTTTAAAAAACAGCTTCACTTTTTATACTTGTTAATGCTATTTTCTATTTTCCCTTTTAACTTTAATAGATATTCTTACTACTTTAAAAGAAAGTAACTTAAAAACATACGTTTCTGTTTTATCATCAAACAAAAATGTTTTTGTCACATTTGCTTTCATTTACTTTTTGATATAAATATATTTAAATTGTATTTACTTTTAAGTCCAACTGCATTCTATTTTTAATCTTTAAATCACTGGGAATAAATATAAGGCAAGATCGTGATAGGAATAAAAAACAGAAAGCGGAGCTCAGAAAAAAAACTGAAAAGAAAAAACAGTATACCTTCAAATAAGTGGTCTGTCTAAATTTTTTAAAGTTAAAAATAATAAAAGTGAGAAGACTATGTCAGGCATGACTCATTAAAAATTTGCCAGTGAGACATTATAAATTCTATATTTAATAAAGTTTTAATTACTGATCAAAACAATGAAAATGAGCAAGAAAATTATTCAAATAAAATCCACAACTTCAAGACGTTAGATGAAATCCCTGGGACCTCATATTCTTCACTACATGAAGTTTTAATTACTGATCAAAGCAATGAGAATGAAAGAGAGGACTGTTCATAACGAATTCGCAAATCAGAAGCAGCAAGTATAAGCCTGGCTTGTCCACTGGAAGATGTACGAAAATCCATTCATGAAATTTAGTAAATTGGATGAGAAAGATGAACTCCTGGAGTGTGAGTCATTTATTGTAGGATGATCCTAAAAATGGCGTCAAACCCTCTCTGACAGAATGAGAATGTTTCTAGCAAAACAAAATCTGATTCAAATTAGCTAATACGATTTTTCATTAGATGAGTATGGCAGAAAACTCAGTATTTAATTTTACACCAACATTCTTTCAAATGGGAAAAGAATCTCTAAAGCAGGTTTTCATATTCCAAGGAGAAAAGAAAGAGGATGTTGTTACATAATGTGTTACATAATTCACAACCAATTTTCAAGATCAATTTTGACCGATGAAGTTATTTGTGACCAAAAATATTTGGACTTTTTATTAAAATAATACACAATGTCACTCATGCACATATGAAAAAAGTACACATGCAAGCACCAGAAATTTAAAAACAGGCTGAAAAAAACAGCAAACCACCAATGGTGTTCAACAGTGACAAGAAATGGCAGTTTAGAACACTGTTGGGATGTTCTAAAAAATATTGCTTTGGGGTCCAATATTTACCCAAGAGTTATGGTATGTTTTACAGTAGTAACAGCACGGTATTTATGGAAAGCAACACAATTTTTCTAAGTTTAATAGAAAATAATTCCAATTTTTATGTTAGGATGGCCAAAAATGTAAGATGGGTAAAAATAATATGACAAATAACCCCCATCTAGGATGAATAATTTAAGATGAAATTATTAATTTAGTAGATAACAAAGTGAGAGAATCAATCACACGTAACATAAAAACACAAGTAAACATTGCTCAGGGAAACTAGCTTCAATGCAACCGCTGACAAAAGCCATGTGGAACAGCAAACATTTGCTGTGTGTGTTGTTGAAGAAGAAAACAAGAACATATTGCATTGTTTTCACACCTAGAAGTACGGTTTTTGATTTAAGTAAGAAGTGGAGAAATAACTTTCAATTTTAGGCATTAATCTGAAAGATTGTTGAGAGTAAGTCTATGAAAACGGCACGGATGTAGTTGGTAAGGAAAAAGGTGTAGGGACCAGAATTTTGCCAAAAATTCAGAAGCATCCTACATGGAGCTCACAGCTTGGATTTGTGACTAGGACACATGGTCTCAATTGGGTCCCTAGTGATGTGTCCTTCAGAATAATTAAGCAAGTATAAAAAGTATTTTCTGGATCTGCCCCAAATGGGAAGAGCTTGATCAAACATACATCAAATCTGACCTTACAGACTCTCTCAGGCATGCAATGGGAAGGCCAGCGAAAATGCTGTCCAACAAATTAGATTTAATTTAAACAAAACATGAGAAAAGCTCCACCAAAAGCTCCAGCAAAAAAGCAAATGGGTAGAAAATGAAATAACCTTGAATTTGCATTATCCACTGTTGTTCAGTATATATTATTGCTTGCTCTCAATAATATTACCAGAAGCTTCCAAAAGAAAAGAATTATGTAGCTACTTTATTTTTTAATTATTAAAAAGTATTTTTTGAAATTTTAAAGAAAATGGGTTTTCATAATCAAAAGAAAATACATATGAAATATGTGGCATTCCATTAACATATAAAGAAATTAGAAAAAGGAAAAAATAATTGGATAACTAAGAAGATCTATATAAAATAACTCCCAAATTAGTTTCTATAGAGAATACTTTCTGGTCACTGTGGATTGAGAAACAATCTCAGCTGAGAAGAGATGTGAAAAAAATTGAGCAATTAACCAATATTTTCAGTTTTCTTTATATTAACCCAGCATTGAAAGATTTGAAAGAATAAATTAAGAAATATTAAATCAACCTAGACACTGCTTTAAGAGTTGGCTAAAATAACAGTAAGTGATAGTTATTTGTATGATAAAATATTTTCTGTAATAATCATCACATTTGATTCCATTATAATTTGTGAACGTGGTATGTGCAATTCGTGATCCATTTTGGAGTCTAACTATTGCATGAAGTTTATTGATGACTCCAGTAGTTCCTACTTCACAGAGCAAAGTTCCTCCAACTTGAAATTAATAAAAGGCTAAGAACTATGATAACTCAAGAAATGTCTGATTTGGCATTATTCCATATAAATATAAGTTATATGAAAATCTTTATCATGACAATAGTTAATAATTTTGCCAAAATAAAGATAAGAAATATACATGTTCCGTCATAAGTATATAATTTATGAATTATACATGTCTATTTTATTACTCACTCATCCATCACTGACCCATCAGCAAAATGTGTGGACACACACAATAATTAAATTTGGTCATCTTTCATCTTTTGTCAACTTTCTTTTATGCAAAAAGTAGTCAAACATACTTATTTTATAATATGCTAATATTTAACATACACCTAAATTTTTAACATATTTAAACATTTTTTAAAATTGTCCTTATATAGGTGTAGCTCTCAAGTGAGGAGGATGGAACACCTTTGGTTTAACAGCTCGTTAGATGGAAGGTATTTTAAATGATCGTCACTGACATACGGTATAAGGGTTTCCACTTGCGCTCTTGTGCTGGAAATGGGCTTTTTCTGACCCAACGACAGAGACATTTTCCTCAGTTCATCCAGTGACATTCCTAGAACTCCAACAGCCCTTTCGTTTCTCCTCACCTTGACTGGTTTTTAACTCAGTGTCTGTGAGGTGGAAATGGGGGTCGGGAGAGTACCCAGCACTGGCCTGTCCCACAGACCCCTGGGACTCAAGTTTCCCTGGCGGAGTACTCGGCGCCTGTCCCGGACCCTTCAGCTGACCTCCTGTCTGCCGATGGCTTCCATACAGCTGGCACCTCCACCCCAGGTGCCCCACTCCTGCAGGACATGGTTGGGAAGATGGCCCACTTGGGGCACCCCAGTGACTGTCTCTAGCTTCAGTTCATTAGTCTCAAAGCCCAGCATGGACCCCTAGACCAAAGCTGTGTGCTTGCAGCACCATGGCTGACAGCTCCCCATGAATATCACGGCTGTGGTGGGGAAGCGGGGTTTCCCAAAATTCCGTCATGGTGGGGTCTGCAGCAAGCTTGCAGCTGCGCCTTGGCGTCCTGGCCAAGCCCAGACGCCCCCTGTCTAGAGCTGGCCTCTCCTCTTCTGTGTAAGTTTCCTACTGCTGCTGGCAACAAGTGACCACACACTTGATGGCTTAAAACCACACAAATCTATTTGGAAGTCAGAAGTCTAAAATGGGTCTCACTGGGCTAAAGTCGAGGTATTGGCAGGGCTGACTCCTTCTGGAGGCTCGAGGGTAAATCCATTTCTCTTGGCTTTTAGGTTTCTGGAAGCTGCCCTCACTCCTTGTTCTGTGGCCCCTTCCATCTTCAAAGCCAGTAATGGCTTGTGAGCTTTCCTTACACTTTTTTTTCCTGGCTTCCTTTTCTACTCACTGGGACCAAGGGAAGGATTTGGTGTGACATGGCTTGATTCCTACGCCTGTCCCTGGACTGTGGTCAGGGAAAGGGGTGGCGTAACTGGCTCAGTCTGCGTCACACACGTGTCCATCCCTCCAGCCAGAGAGGTGGGATGCAGTGATGAGCAGCCCTCAGCAAAGCACAGGCTGAGGTAAGAGAAGTTTTCTAAAAGGTCTCAGGTTCTCTTTCTGAATGGACAAAACAATAAATACTACAAATGTCCATTATTTTAAACCATGGGAAAATACTAAAAATTCATAGTAAAAATATCACGTACAATCCTGGGATCCCAAAACAGCTGTAATGAGCACGACGGAATGTTTCCTGCAAGCCTTTTTTTTCCCCTCTAGGCTTTTTATTTCCCTCTAGGCTCATGTGCATGTTGAATATAGTCTTACCAGATTGTATAGGCAATTTTGCATCCTGCTCTTTTTACTTGAAATTCTAACAGAAGGATTTTCTCAATGTTATTTCCTTTGACTCTGTGCCCTGCACAGTCACTTCCTTTCCCTCTCGGCTCTCTGGCAGCAGAATTTGTGGGCTGCACATATAAAGGGAAGGAGTAGGGGCTTTTCTGATCCGGGGGCATCTGAGCAAAGAGAGGAGAAAGAGGGATTAAAAGGACAAGCCTCTGTGACCTCACAGAGCTGCTGAGATGAACAAACGACATATTACATGTGAGAGTGCCTTGGAAATGGCTTACTG